AGATATGGCAGTACTGGATCCTCCACTAAAATAAGCTTTTGGGATTGCAGGGTTTGGTCACATTTCTTGCTCTGTTCAAAGTGCCTCTTAATTTTACTGAGAACAAACAATGGTGCTGCTATCTTGCTAAAACATAGCCACAAAGCATCAGTAATACAATGCAAAACTATGGAAACTGCTGACTTATTGCTTGGTCACATGTTGAGGCCAATCTCTCAATGCTGCTATTTTAGCAGGGTCTGTAGAGTTTCCATCTCCACCTACAATATGACCAAGAAAAAATCCACTTCTGTGTGCATGAGCTCACATTTTCTGGATTTCAGTTTTAAGATTGCATTCTTTATCCACTGGAATACCATTCTCAGTTCCTCAGCTGCAGACTTGAACATGCAACCTAACACCAAAATATCTTTGACATAGACCAGACATATCTCCTTCAGTGTGAGCTCCATTACCTCTCAAAAATGGTGGACATCTTACACAAGTCAAATTATAGTGATGTAAAACTCACACAAACCATCTCTCTGGCTGAAAACAGTCTTAGGTTTGCAGTCATTACTCAGTCCAACATGCCAGTCTTATAATGCCAGATTTAAAGTGTTGAACCAATGAAACCTTCCAATGTCCAGACACTAATCTATTTGCATCTAAAGAAAGGCATTTTAACTTACCTACAATCAACATAGAATCTTGCTGTACCTTTCTTCTCTTTGTTGACCAAACATTTTCAGATAGTTGTATGGCTCTGTTTTCAGTATTCACTGTATTTCAGCTCTGGCCACATCTTTAGTGATTGAAGTGTAGCAGTTGCTTGATCAGACATACCTCAACTGTTTGTATGTTGTGCTACATTACTGTTGCTCAACCCATTCAACCATCTGGTCCCACATATACATTGGCATACTCAACCAATAAGTCATTGAGTTGTTTTCACTGTGTTGGGTCAAGATGTTTTACACAATCCTTAGCCATTAATCTCAGATGTGTGAGTAGTGAAGTAGTTGCTTTCATTGAGTTGTTTTCACTGTGTTGGGTCAAGATGTTTTACACAATCCTTAGCCATTAATCTCAGATGTGTGAGTAGTGAAGTCCTTGCTTTCAGTTGCAGCATGACGGATACAACTCTAGCATTACTACTAGTACTAGCTTTGGTAACTTCTACTTCACTTACAGCACCTATGACTATTCCATAAAGCTGGATAACTAATCAGGCATCATTACAAAACAACACTGGGACATCATCACTTCTTACAGATAACTGCCTGCACTAATGCTGCTTATTTTCTGTACAGGCATCATTTCATGATGTGTGGCCTCTACAAGAGGTTACAAGGAACTGATGCTCTAAACTTCTGTCATAAACCATGGAACACCATTTGTTAATGTGGAGATACTGTTATTCCTTCTGCTACATACACTCATGTAGTCCCCCTTTTCTAGGCTTGATTTGGCTGACATCAGATAATTTCCTGGGGAATATCAGTACATCAGATACCCTATCTAAAGTTGACAGATGATTTCCCCAGTATATCCATCACAAGGATGTCAGTGCAAGATACAAGGTCACATATGACTACCTTCATTATGTGAGCAACATTTCCTAGACAGAACAAGAGATCTCTCTCTTCACTTATATCTAATTTATTGATATTTTCCAAAATGAGGTTGGTATCCACTAGCTGTAGTGGTGTGCTCACTTGGACAACTTGATATACTATAACATCCATCAGTGTTCTGGCTGCCCTAAGAGAGTTTGGCTGACCAGCAAACCTTTCAGTGCATCTGTTTGTCTTGGTCCCCAAGTTGGTAATCAGATCTGACTTTGTTGCATTAGTTGTTTGGTATTGTATATGAAGTGTTTACTGCTTCCTGTTGGTTCTCTTGAACCTTCTTACCCATCAGTTAAAACAGATAGCCTTGTCCACAGTGCTGCTCAGCAAATTATGGACTTGTTGATTTTCCAGCACCTTCTGAGCCATCAATTGGAATTAATAACCCTGCTGCATGGCAAAATATGGGTAGTTGACTCTCTAGTGACCCATGTTGTCTGACATTTAGGTTGAGGCATCATTGGCATAGGCTATGGCATGTAAATTATGGGAGGACCAGAATAGCCTTGCAAATTCACTGGAAACCAGTGCAGGATGTTTGGGTGGTTGGTTAACCCTCAGTATGGTTTTAGCTCAATGTGGTTTAAGTATCTGAATAGAAAAGACTATCTGAAGTGTAGCCACAGCAGCTGACAATGCAGACATTTTTTCTTCTCCAGTGACTGGCTCAAGTTACCACTTTCTTGACAAAAACTACCATTGTTAGGGTGAGGATATCCCTCACACCCAGGTGGTGCCTTAACAAATGTATGCACAAGTATGTCTTTGTGAACTGCGAAAGCCAACATGTGGTGAGCTTTTCCATGCAAATGGCACAGATCATTAACTCAGTGGCACTTCTCTTCTGAGGTTTGGAATTGGTCATTGCAACTCCATGGAATGCATAGTTGGACCAATAAAGCTCAGAATCAGATATTGGACTGCCTGCTCCAGAGATTAGCTGTTCCAAGCAGTCACTTGCATGAAATGTTTTAGAAAATAGACCAGATTTTCCTTTACCATATCTTTGAATATCAGGAACAAATTCTGCTTGGCTTCACTAACAGGGGCTTATGCTGTTGGCTAAAGCCACTTATTTGCAAGGTTTGGCCAATGCCTAGCTGAGATGTCACCAATTCATAGGTGTGGATCAGTAGACATACTTAGAAACCCTAATTCTTGGATGAGTAGTTGGGCCTTTGTCAAGGGAGACAGAGCAACTAGATTGTTCTCATCAGCTCATCCTTAACTCTTTATCACCCCATGTTTCTTCATGATTCACAGTCACTCAGGTAAGATACATCCTGGCACAGAGAAACTGGTTTGTGGTCTTTTCTCATTGGGACACACTGTCTCACCTGTTGGGGAAACAACTGTGACTGGTGAACTTCAACCACTACCAGCATGCCTAAACTTCTCCCCTGGGTTTGGGGGGTCATGATGAAAGCTGGGCTTGTGTTATTGTGACTGGAGAGGGCTTCTCCTGCACTTGATACCTCTCTCTTTTTACCATCTCTCAGTGACAAGCTCTTCCTTTCATTTGTGATTACTTTTACTTGCAGAAAATCTTATTCTTTAAGTCAGAAGCATTTCTTTAAATTTAGTAACATAGTAGTCCAAATAAGAGCTGTACACATGCTAACAGAAAGAGAAAACTCCACAAGCACCAAAATTTCTCCTCCTTTCCTGCTCTGTGGTATTTACAAATATCCAAAAGGAAAGCTTCTATGATGTTCTCAGGTTAAATTATTTCTTGCAAAGAGTATTTAATAGATTTGCTTTATAATGGAAAGGATTGAAAAGATAAATTATGAAGTAATGCTGGATTTAAATAAACTCATTGAGTTTAAGTGAGGAAATAAACAAAGTGGACACACTTTGTGATGAAAAATGAAAACAATTATTATGTATTTAAAGACAAAAACACTCTTCAATGAACTTATGAAGTGATTAACTAGCTTTTATTCTCCCAGTGTCTTACCATCAATCAACTTGCTTAAGATACCATGCATGAATGCTTAAATCTAATGTATCTTACTTAAAAGGAAACATGACAAACTTTGAATATACATATAGTGACTTGCCACATGTCTGGTTATTCTCATTCAACATATGGAATGCCATGATACTGAGATATCATCTAGACTATTATTGGCGTACACTATTGTCAACATTTGTGCACAATGTGCAGCGTTACAGCTAAACATTCCATGGCAGCCAGATATTTTCAGAGAATAACAAAAGAGCAAAAGCAACTAAAATGAAGTAAAATTAACAATTTTCTGCACCAGGTGTTATGCAAGTACTGCATAAACTCAGAATAAACTAAAATAAAAATGTAGAAAACACATGGTATGTCTGCATACTTCAACAGGAATTCCCTTCCCATTTCTTTGCAGTGCTCGCATGAGTAAGTCATTTCCTTTAAAATATAAAGGGTACCTTCATTTCTAAGCTAAAATATTCGGACTGTTATTTTTTGTACAATACCAGAAGTAGTAATAATTGTTGACCTGTTAAAAGCTTTTGATCTTATTTGACATTTTGACTTAATGAGCAAAGCAGAAAATTATGGGAATTAATTGGCTCAGTTCTAGTTTATTAACTATTACCAATTTGTTTATCGGAATAATGTTTAATGTAATTTTGTTGAACCATTGCCTACCCCAACTATTGGAGATAGAAACAGGTATTCATGCTATTCATTATAAGGAGATACCAGTTAATTTACCCAGATGTATCATCTGTAAATTTCTATGCAACTTGACTGTTGATATGGGTGCTGGGAAATTGTCATCCTTGTATGCTAAATGGATTATAGAAAGTTCCCAGACAGGAGTGATATTCTTTGGACATGACAAACTTATGACATAGCCTTTTCCAATAGAAACTACACTGCAGGGCTGTTGTAAAGATGCTCAATTGTCAGATATAGTATGACCAGTTGCAGTGACATAGACTGAAACAGTGTGTTGAGGCTTCAAAATTATTTTAATATAATAAATATAACCTTGTAGGTAATGTGATTGTATAGTTTCATGTTGTTTATTGAATTGTTTTCTTTAATGAAACCATTTAAAATCATTGAGACAGAATTTTTCAGTTTCCTTACCTTAATTTAAAAATTGCAAATATACTGTATGTATGTGTGTGTGTCGTCCATTATGCTACTTGCAGTGTAAAATATTAGTATTGCTTTTCTTTTATGAAATTTTAGCAACAAAATCTGACCTCAATTTAAGATTAATTTAAATTTTTTAATATGAAAATACAAAACTTCAAAGCTGAATTATTACATTAAGTATTTTGTACACTTTAACTATGTAAACATTAAAACCTTATGTGTGATATCATATACAACATGTCATTGAAATGGCTACTCTCATTACACTTTTGCTCCTTTTGCTGTAGCATGTGGTGGTAATCTATTTGGAGCTGAATGCTCAAAGATTTGCACATCAGGACAGCATGTAGACAGAGGTTGCGCCATTCATCTCTTCTGCAAACCAGACCCTTATGGTTGCTCCTGTGCTCCTGGCTACAAGGGGCCTATATGTGCCACAGGTAACATATTTAAAACAAAAAATACATGGAAAGTACCATCATTTTCAATGATGTTTATTTAGTGCTAGTTGGTATAATTAGTCAGGTTGTTCTCAATTTATTAGAGAAATCTATCTGATTAGATATATATATATATATATAGACAAGCTGAAGTTTTTCATGTATTCTTGTAATACTGCTTTCTTTTTTCAGTGAGATATTGTAATGATATTTAACATTTATTAAACTTCCATTTTTGATGTGTGGAATTTAATGATAATTGGGCATTATATTTCAACAAATATATATTCTAGATGTTTTAAGTTGTCAATTCTGGATTTTATTATTTTCTGTGTGTGTATGTGTAATATTTTAGTCAATGTAACAATGTGTTAAATTGGTATAAGAATGAAATTAAGTAACAATAACAGCAATATAAGATTTATAGATTTATTAATCTGTAATTTATATACATATATATATTACAGATTTCCTTTTCACAAAAGGTAAAAATTAAAATATTTTTGCCAGGTTATTTTGGTTTAAAATAACTAGGGGTGTTCAAAAATCATTCAGTCTTTCTTCACCCAAAATTTCATCTGTGATGTAGAGGCCTAATGCATTCCTTGATTGGACACACTTTCTGCTGTGGACTGCAGTTTTGCCTATTCAAGGCTCATCTGCACAGCTTTGTAAAATATAAAATAAATCTGTAATATGTATATATTGTTGCGTCATCGAGATCATGTGATTCTCACGCTCTCTACTTTATAGAATTATCCTGTACTTTGGCGAATGTTCTAGTTCTTACTAGATATAGGGTAGGCGGGCATATATAAGAGGGGACAATGTGATGCAGTAATGTAATGTGTGTGTAGATAGTGAGTAATTGATCTGCGGTCAGAAGTATTATTGACGTTCATTGTAATAGCGTTTGTTTAGCGCAATTGTTGAAGTCGAGTGTATCGGTAAAGTTGTATTCGGAAAGAATAAACTAGTTTTATTAAGTAAAGAACTTGTGTCGCAAGTTTCGTCGGAACGAAGTTACGAAAAGTTAATTAACAAACGGAGACGTAACAATGTACTAACGTATAGCTTGTCATAAATTATAGGATAAGTAACTAGCACTCCCACTCCATAGTATACCCTAACCTCACATTTCATAGTTATATATTTTGCAAAATCAAGCTTGATCAACAATGAGGCAGAAAAGTGCAGTCAAGGCAGTAAAACATTGGTAAATTAAGATCATTCATGAAATGAATTCATTGGCATACTCATAGAATAATTATTGGTAAAAATCAGTTAAATTAACAACTTCTAATATATAGAAAAGGCAGTGCATTTTAGTAACACTACCATCCAACAATGGATTTTATGTCATGTTGCTTAGAAACAAACCTAATATTGTTATTAGTTTATGTACTGGAAGTATAAAGTGAAATGTATAGACAACAGAACTTGAAAAATATTTGGTGATTTCTTAACTCAGAGTCCATTGATTATAGAGGTTTGTTTTTTATTAAAAACCCATAACAGTTAAAAAAAATACCATAACATCCCATAATAATTAAAAATCACACTATAACATTCCATAATAGTTAAAAAACCACTCTATAACTCCCATAATAGTTATAACACTCTATAACATCCCATAATAGTTTTGTTGCTAAGCAATGATGTATATTGTTGATCATTACCAAAAAAAGGAATGTGAAAGCGACAGTATAACATCCCATAATAGTTAAAAAAACACTATAACACTCCATAATAGTTAAAAAACACTATAACACTCCACAATAGTTAAAAACACTATAACACTCCACAATAGTTAAAAAACACTATAACACTCCACAATAGTTAAAAACACTCTATAGCACTCCACAATAGTTAAAAAACACTATAACACTCCACAATAGTTAAAAAACACTATAACACTCCAT